AACTGACAAGAATCTTTGTGTTTGAGAAATGGCACTGCTTTCTGAAAAAAAATAAAAAAAAAAAAAAGTAGAAGAAAACTAAAGAAAACAAAACACTTTCATTTGGCAGAGAAGTTTTTTAGTTCAATGTGGATAGGCCTATTAATTAACCCCTTAATGCCTGAATTTATATAAAATGTTTTGTGTGTGTTTTTGCCTTTAAGTGGATGGTAAATTAAGTTGAGACTATTAATTTGACTATAGCAAAAAAAAAAAAAAAAAAAAAAAAGAAATTTGGGTATGTTGCAAATTAGCGAGAACTAGAAAGAAGTGCTTGCCAAAGGTTTCTAGGAAGGTACTGCATATGCACTGACCAGCACTGAGGGAATGCAGCTGCCATCTTGGCTTATATTTAGGGGTGTCAAATTATCGCGTTAATTGCAATTAATTAATTACAGTCATATTTAGCGCGTTATGTTTTTTAATCGTGTTAATCTCATTTTTAATCTCTAACTTTACTGTTTCTGTATGTGAGTTGCTTTATTATAAAATATTTTTATGTGTTGTTGGGACAACAACGCACACACAAAAAAAACACATTTATAATTTTTTTTATTTCGGTAACTCCACTCATTGCCGGAAACCCAAACAGAACGCGCGCAGTAAGAGCGATGTAAATGTCATGTTCACATTGGCGGCGTCAGTCGCACAATGGACGAGGTCGAAGAGCCAGTAGAACAGAGGCAGCAGTGCACAGGTAAAAACACATTCGTGTCTTGGAAATTATTCTCCCGACGTGAAATATAAAAGAAAATAACAAATATAAAATCGCCTACAACTTAAATGTCACTGGTGAAAACAACCTGCATAGACTCATGATGTCTGCACTACTGTCCTATAGTGACCTGCCACATGAGGGGACACGCACACAAACACACACACACACACACACACACACACACACACACACACACACACACACACACACTTCATCATCGTCATTAACCTGAGAACGCGCGGACCACGTTTCCTTCCGTAGTTACTGCGTTTTCTCGCGTACGCTGCGTAAACCGCGCTTCCTCCTGTGCACCTCTAAACTAGAACTAACACCAAGACTAAAACCGGGACTAACCCAGTCCAGGACTAAACCAGGACTAAACCAGGTCTAAACCAGGACTAAACCAGGACTAAACCAGAACTAAAACCAGAACTAAAACCAGGTCTAAACCAGGTCTAAACCAGAACTAAAACCAGGACTAAAACCAGAACTAAAACCAGGTCTAAACCAGGTCTAAACCAGGTCTAAACCAGGACTAAACCAGAACTAACACCAGGACTAAAACCAGGACTAACCCATTCCAGGACTAAACTAGGACTAAAGTAGGACTAAAGCAGGTCTAAACCAGGACTAAACCAGGACTAAAACCAGTGATCTCATATATAAAGCATTTCTCTATCAATAATATTTTTTAATATGGTTAAGGAAAGACTGGACTTTTTATTGTCTTTAAGTAGACAAAAGTTATTATGTTCAGATTTCCTCGTCTTTGCTACTTTACAGCAAACAGTTTCTTATTCATGGAGACTTGGGCTCAACAACCAATTTGAAGAGATTTGTTAAACAATAAATGACTTTATAAAGTCACTTTTTTTTATTCTATATCAGTCTTTTGATCTGCCACAATAATGTAATAATGAATTTAAATGAAAATACCTCAAATTGAAGGCTTTTCTCAGCAATTTTTAGGTGAGATTAAAAAGAGATTAATTAGATTAATTAATTACAGATCATAATTAATTAATCTCTCCATTTTTTTTAATCGCATGACAGCACTACTTATATTTTGATCCAAACGATTTGTCACATATTTATGACAGTCGGCATTAAGGGGTTAAAGGTAAAAATTTTATGGTACAATTTGCCCTTTAATACTAATACTTCATGTGTCTGGTTTACTTAGCCAGGCTGGTGCTCCCTAGAGCCATACATTCTGTGTTGGCAACGATTCCCAAGATCAAGGATTTAAAGTCGGAACAAAGAGAATTTTTGGTGAATTTTATCAAGGTTAAAGACATTATTGCCCTTTTTCCTACAGGATTTGTGAAAAGCTTAATATACCAGTTAGCTCAGTTAACGGCGCATTACATACGTCAGAATCAAATAGCAGCAATTGGTTAAATTAAAAAAAGTACCTGCCAACCATCGAGCGAACAAATTCTAATGCTGCAAGGTCAGACGGTTTCTACTAAGTGAAACCCTCTGATGAATCATTCTAATGGTTACTGGGCTGATCAACATGAAACAAAAATCTGACAAGAAGTTCAATTGTCTTCTCTGTCACTATCGGGAACATCAGGAAAAAGGAACTTCAGAAATTAAAGAAATGCTGGACCAGGGGCTCAAAGAAGTGCTGGAGTAAAAGGCTAGGGGTTTGAAAATGATACTTGTAAAAAAAATTTACCTTTAGATATTTCTCATAACAATACAGTGTAATCGATAGGGAAAACTGTTTCTTGCCCCCCCACATGGGCATATGACAGAGTGTGAAAATCACCTAAATGTAGTAAACCCTTTTTTAATGTAATATCACAGCAAAATATTGACTCTGCTTCTGCTTCTTCGACATCTCCTTTCTCTCTGGATTAACTCTACTCACTCATACACTTGAACACTTTAATCTCGTCCAAAAAAAATAAAAAATGCTTGAATTTACGCACTTGCTCACACCAAACAAGAGGAGTCACTATCATAAACGCCCACGTCAGCTCACCCCTGTAGAGGCTGCGAGGACATTTCATCCCCAGATATCAGCACCGGGAAAACAGAGAGGCAGTTCAAGCATCATCAAAAGATTTACAAAAATACAGTGTCATTTGAAGAGCTTTTTATTTGTACAATGTATTTATTGTTCCCTCATCAAAAATACATAATAATCTGGTATTCTCTTGTGTTAAATTTCTCTTGGTCCCTGTGCATCTGCATTAAAGGAACTGCACTCTTACAGTTTTAAAAAGGACAACCTGCATAAAGAGACCAAATATGCTTTTCTCATTCGCAGTATATGGACAGCAATAGCAGATGCTTAATGACTGGCTGCAGGTTTTGGAGTTTATTGAGGATTCAGATGAGAGAGAGGCATTTTAGGTTTAAACCAGGTGTATTTCAGCATTGAAACAGAAACCTAAATGAGACTAAAAGGGAGCCTCATTCTGCTTTCTCATTGGATAATCGTTTTGAGAACCACAACACCAAATGGTAACGTCAATAACTTGGCCATCATGTTCAATGTTTTTGTAGCGATACACTTCTTATCACTAAAAGCTATATGTATGATTTGGGGTAGTAAAAGATTTATATAAACAAAAAATATAAAAGCCAGAAGAAACAACTCTTTACCTAAAACAGAAATGGGAAAAAGTGTTGTCAATTAATATAACAGATGCAGAATGGTTTCAGATGTGTAAAATACACCATAGTACTACTAATTCACTGTTGTGGAGGGAATATTGTTGGTAGAATTTGACATGTTTTTTTCATTACACCTAAAATCAAAAGTAGACAGACCTCCACCCCGCAAGAGTGCTGGAGGTTGTGTGGAGAAATGGACGCTGATCACACACGTGTTTTGGAGTTGCCTGAAAATTAGGTTATATTGGGAACAATTAAACACAACCTTAACGAGTATTCTGGGATATGGAATTCTGAACACATGTCTGGTGATGTATCTGGGAAATATATCTGATGTAGTAAGGAAGGAGGACATGTATTAGACAAAGCTGCATCTAGTTTTAGCTGATCTGGCCAACCAGATCCACCTGCGCAACAAGACTGGATCAGGATTGTGGACAATGTTTCAGTGATGGAAAGAATACCATATAATCTTAAACTTAAAGGGTACAAATACGATGAGCAATGGGAAAATGGAATGTATTCATAAATGACATCAGTAAAACAACATAGTACATAAAAATTTCAATACCAAATGCATGTTTAAATAAGAACCTCTAACTCCAGACTGTTATTACATTGCTTTTGATTTTATATTGTTTTTGTTTTGAAATGTTACTTAAAACCAATAAAAACAAAGTTATAAAAAAAAAAGCTATATGTATGATTTTAATATATCTACCTTGTTTCTGTTTCTGTTTATTTTGTTAGTAAGTCTTTTTTTTTTTGGCCATATTGTGATATCTGCCCAATTTTACTCTCCTACCACTGCTGCATCACCTTCCCTTATTGCCTATGTCCTCAGCCGCTTGTCCATCAGAACGCTTGTTAGAGTCTAAAATCACTGTCTGCCTTATATACAATATCTATACAATATCAATAAAAAATACCATTGTGCTTGCTAAAAATGTGTTTCTTCTTGCTTTCCGAATACATTCAAATATGACTTAAGCAACTATGCTGTTAGGATAACGATTTGTTAATCTTAATAATAAAAAAAACGGTATCTAATCTAATCCATCATTTGTCCTGACATAATGATAAAATACTAGAATCATGCTTTCATGCTGACGATTCTTATGTTCTAAATTCTTCACAGAGCAGCCATAACAGCATTACCCGGTGAGAATCAAATGGTCCGATTATAGAATATGTGTGTCCTTATTTGTCTTACGTGTCATGGCTCCCTCAGGACATCACTCATAAAACATGAAACAGCAGCTCTCTGTCTCCAACAAATAAGTTCACCCCAGGAAGCCCAGTGGCACAAAGCTGTTATTTCAGTGTATTACAGAGACTGGCCTATTAAATCCCTGTACTGTGAGAAAGCCCAGCGAAATGGGATGTTAGCACCATCTTGTGGACGCAACATATATTCTGCAAAATGGTCTACTTACTGCAGTTGTGTCATTTGGCAAGACACCTCATCATGTTTAAATATGCTAGGTAAGAATAACTCACTCCTGTATTATCTGGTTTGGGTCAAATTTGCACACTTTGGCCCTTTTGTTTGGTGTTTTTAGTTTTATAGCTTTAAATCTGAGTACCACAAATATAAGCATTAAAAGAAAAGTTATTTTTTTAAATTTTATTATCAATACTATTTCACACATTTACAAACATACAAAATAAATAAGAGAGCTGAGTGCGTGTAAACATGGCAATGCTGACAGTCTGTGGAAGCATCTTAAGTTTAGATCAGAAGTTTAGTTAGTTTGGTCCTCGGTTTTGTCTTTTCTGATGGGGAACTCTAGTGAGCTTCTGAACCGCAATGGGACCTCTTCCTCCTCTTCCTCTTTCTTCTCCTCCTCCTTTTCCTGCTCCTTCTCCTCTTCCTTCTCCTTGTTGTCTGTGATTGGCTGTTTGGCGACGGGGGCATGGATGCGCAGCTGCCCATTGTCCATGAGGGAGCAGGACAGCCCGCTCAGGTCCAGGTGAGGGGGCAGATCGATTCTCTGCATGAAGCCCATCCTGGCAGCGGCCGAGGACTTGAAGGCAGCCTGTGATGTCGAGGATGAACAGGACTGGGCCTCCTCTGCACCGGCCTGCTTCAGAGCCGCCACCGCCAAGCTCCGTCCCTCCAGCTTCACTGTGATGTCACTGGGGGCGTATCCCCGAGCGTCCAGGGTCACCAGGAGGTCGCCGTTCTTCTGTGAGGCCGGCTGGACCTCTTTGTGTGGATCCATGCAGGACATGTCTTGATGGTGGTCGCCATTGCTCACTCTGCACAAAGAAACAGACATATTATTTTGTATTTACTTTAAAGGTCCTATATTATGCATTGACTCCTGTTAGAGTGTTGTTAACTCATCAAAAACATGCCCATAAGTTGTGTTTGTTTCATTCATATATGTTTGCCTAATCCTGCATTATTAGTCCGTCTACAAAGCTCTGTTCCACCTTGTCATGTCATAAAGTGGTAGTTTTCAAATTAACAGCTCTTTTTACCTTTTACTGAGTAGAGATTGTCAATACCAGGAATGAAAAGATCCAAATGATTCTAGTTAAGGTGTATGGAGTTAAATAATCATAGTGGAGCACTTCCTGTACTACCACATGACTTCACAAAGTAGATTAGTGAGTGTTTTCTGAGAAGAACAGAGCTGACATATGCAAGATTCATGTGATAAACATGTGTGGAAAAAATGCGTAATATGGGTCCTTTAATATTTCTTAATTAAAAATGTAAACAAACAAAAATAGATAGTGTGAAACTGCATACTACTGAGACAGTGTACCTTTCTACCACATTACGTTTCAGTGTAGAGACTACCATCTAAATGTTTATGTTTCAAGCCAAATCTTAAGAAACTACATCTATCTTGTTCATATTAGTGATAGTGATAGATTAAAATATGTTTTATCCATCTGATCCTTTTGTCAGTATTGTTACAAAGTTCACGAGTACTGCTGTGAATGTGTGAACCCACCTTGGGAAAGCTGAGGACATCAGAGGCATGTGAGGCCCATCGTGGAGCTCCGTGAAGAGGCTGTCTGCTAGTTTGGCCCTCCTGTTGAAGAAGTCCTGCTGTATGGAGGAGAGGGCCTCAGTGCGCAGGGGCCACAGCAGTCTGTCCGGGCTGAAGAAGGGGTCATCATCAAACAAGCTGCTCAGGATGCTCTGCTGGGACATCATTTTGAAGTCTGGGGTTTTCCTTTAAGTCGAGTTGAGTTGAGTTTGAGTTCTTCTGTTTGACATGGAGGGATCTCTCTCTGCTCTATATAACTCCAGCTGTCCTGCTCGTCCACGCCCCCTGTGCTATTTTCTTCTGGTGAGCTCAGTGCTGTTGGCGTTAATGTAGCAGTGCAGTCAGGAATGCCCCTGGACTCATTAGAGGGCTAAAGACGGACTGACGGTCAGATCCTGTGTGTGTGAGACATAGTTCACATTCGGTTTTAAACAGGCCATAACTAACAGCTGTAGTTTGTAAGGTTATTTACAGAGGTAGTGTTTCTGCCCAGTGACTGCTTTACACACTCTCATGGCATGTTGTTGACAATACATGAGCATTCCAATATTTCTTATTGGGAAAGAAAATCTGTCCCATGTGAATTCAACTTTGATTTAGCGGATTAGCGGAAGATACTTATAATAAGTAATGATAAGATTATTGTAAATAATTTAGATCATTGTTTCCCAAAAACTGGGTCGCAACCTTCAGGTGGGTCACAAGAGATTTTTTTGGGTCACCGTGTCACAATCTGCATGTAGATTTGCAATATACAGTTGTATAATGGATTTGTTAACTTATCGACATTCTTGATCAGCATTTGGTCATAATATCCTGTCGGCCAGTAGGGCCATATTTCTATGCTTATTCCTTTCACTACTACATATATGTGTGAATTTGGATTTTCTGTGCTCTCAAAAATGAAGACAAAACACAGAAACAGACTGAATGTTGCGCCTGATCTGCTGCTGCGCTCTCCTCCTGCACGCCGGACTGGAACATGCTATAAAAACACAGACAGGCCCCACTATCTTATTAGAAATGTTGAAATGTTAAGACATGTCTTGTATCATTTCTAATCTTTTTGTAATTATTTTATTGACTGTTTTGTTCCAATATTGCTGGTTCAATTGAATGCTGAAAAGAAAGAGCAATGGGCTCCATTTAATGTCCAAATAGATGATTTATGGATCTTTTTTATTGCTGGTGCGGTTACTGTTTTTCATTATTTAAAACTTGAGTAATACTAATTGTTCAGAGAGACACGATCACTCAGTCAACAATAAAATATCCTCATCAGTATTCAATAATGGTAAAATCCACATTTATTTTGTAATTTACTAATAATGTCTATTGGCTTTGTGGTTAGGTTTGTGACTTTTAAAATACAGGTCCCCAGAAAAAAAAAGTTTGGGAATCACTGATTTAGATGAACAAAAGTGCAGAGCCATAGTATAAACATCTATTTACACAGTGGTGATCTTTAGAACATGACAGTACTGACATTACACAGAGGTGACTGCTGGTTTTGCTGCTACATTTTCTTTGTAGGTTAATAATCTGTCACTAAATGTTCGCACAATGTCTAATAATATAATATTACTGAGATCATATCTAGGCTACAGGATGTTCCTGTTCTTGTCAAACACTAGTCCCAGTCTCTTCATTTCAGGGGGCGGGACGGTGGGGGACACTAATGTTTGTATACACAGTCACTTTACTGGGGGCTTTGGCATTTGGTTAGAGTTTATAAGCAGTGGTTATGGTGTGTGCATATGGGCATTTATCATCGTAGCTGCAAAAATCTATATAAACATTTACTTGAGGGACTAAAATTAGGTGGCCATGATGTAAATGAGATCAACATCATGGTTTACGTTGTGAGTGTGAGTGTAGATCATGCATGCCTAAGAGTGCATCACAGTCGTTCACAGCTCGTTTCACCTAAGAGAACAAATATGTCCCCTCATGAATGACTCTGCATAGTCACCAGCTAAAACCAGTCTTGATGTTTACTTTATGTTGATGTAGCCTGTATAATGTGGGGATGTGAGCTAAGCAGAAACCTACTGTCAAGCTATTGCGAAGAGCCAATGCATCAAGTTTCAATGCAGGAGGCAGCTACAAAAATAAAAAGTGTGTCATTAAAGTGACGGGGGATGCCAGAGCTCAAAATAGAATGGGGAATACAAGATGGCCACCTCTGCTGTACATAGCCAGAGTTATTTGTGTCAGGGTGAGATCACACACTGGTAAAAGTCATTTTGAATCAATGAGCTCACACATCTGTCCAGAGTCTATTTCTGATTTTTGCAAAGGTAAGCACTGTGATCGTCAACATCACATGAGCAGTACAATTTGATCTAGAACTGATCATTTCCTAACCTTGCAGTCATATTTCAGAGATAATGAAGGTAGATAAAGAAGATACATAAACAATTTTCAAATAATATTTAATTTACACTTGTTGTGACCATAACATCCAAGAACATAATCAGGTTAATTTTAACGGACATAAACATACCATTGATTTAAAACTGTATTGCACATAAATTTTGTTATCAAAGTTGTATTGTAAAATGTTGTGGTAGTTCTGGCACATCTGATTAACATGTTTTAATATGGTATAAGTGATACAGTAAAGGTACAATAGAACTAACTTTATACCAGGAGTCTCCAGGGGGCTCTCAGACTGATTTTGTTGGCCCTCAGGCTTTCTACTGAATTGTTGCAAATATATATAGACCGTATTTCTACAAGTATAAGCTCATTAATATCACAGTGTATTGTTATGCTGGACTAAAATTAATGCTCCAAGTGTTTTCAAAGGAATGGTAGCTTTGTTAAAATGTACCACTGCTAATATACAGTATGTCCATATGTGTCCCTCAGTCATGGTTTGGACTCCTCCTCTATACTTATAATTTCTATCATATACTATCTTTATATTATCACACACACACTGTTTTCATATCAGTACATATCAAAAGTGGTTGTGAGATGGGCACAGAGTGTTTGCTGTACTGAGAAATTATTTGAGCAAGCATGTTCTTTTTTTTTTTTTTTTTTTCAGTTTTATCAGTTTTCATGAAGCTATAATAATCAGTTGATAAACCCACAGTTTTAAAGAAAAACATAAATGAATCAGAAATGTACTAATAGCCTATTGATAGAAAAAGAAGTGCAAGACATTATTAAACATATTGAACAAAAAATATACATATTTTAAGAAGATATTGATGAAAAATTATTCAAGTGTATTTTAACACAACACTGCATGAGGTGTGATTTGAGGTTCGATGAGGATTTCTGAGTAGAATTCTAATAATTGTGATACATGTTCTCGTCTTCACCACACTGTGTATTGGATGGATCTTCATATATGTTTTCATTATTATCATCATCATCACTATAGTCGACTTGATTCTTATCTGGCTTTGGGAGACTGTCAGGTGCCATGTAAGTATTATTTTTCTCGACTCTGTTGGCATAGGCACACTTCAGTGCATCCACGTTAGCATAGGTCTCCTCCTCTTCCTCCTCATCATCTTCAAGAGTGTAGTCAGCTGGAACTGTCACTGAAACAACATGTACACATATATACAACATTACCCATGTACAGAAAAATACATTAATGTATTTAAGAGCATACTTTCTATCTGAGTGTTTCCGGCCAGTGCAGTTTTAGATGTTCTTTTATGTATCACACAGGTGACAACAAACATCAAGAGGATCAGCAGCAAAACTCCCATAATTCCTGGGACGACCACCAACACCAAAGGCACTAGAAGACAATGCATTGTTTGATCAGATAAGGCAACGTAAGTTTATTTGTATGTGCAGAGATTTGCAGGGTGAGGATCAGCCATCCACCATCCAGCCATCTAGAAGGATAAACACAGTTACACTGGCAACGAATACAGAGTTCATGGAGCTACCTGGGAGGGCAAGTGCCCAGAAACTCAGGAAATGAATTCGTGCACCTGCATTACAGTGGCCTCTCTGGGACAGTTACATTTTACTTTCACACTGCCACAAATGCCATACTGTGGAACATTCCAGGCAAAGAAATAACATATTGGACCCCCTGGCTACTTACTCTTAATAACAATATCCAGTGTTGTGTTTGAGGTGTACGTGTGTCCTGCCCCAGTGACTTGATACACACAGCTGTATTGTCCCTGGTGTTGGCTCTGGGACACAGGGAAGTGGAAGGAGGCTGAGTGGTTGACTGAAGGCTGATGGACAGAGCTGTTGGAGCCAGAGAACCACAAGAGGAACAGGCCTTCTGGGACGTCTGAGGAGACAGAGCAGTGGAGGACAAAACTGTCTCCTGTGGTGATGTGGACAGTGTCAGAGGAGCAGTGTCCCCCAGCAGGAGAAGACACACACAGGCTGGGCACGGGCAGGTCCACTGGGAGGAAAATAGCAAGTTAAGTAGCATCAGTCTTGATGTCAGTCAGTAAATCAGTTAAAGCCCCCAAAACTTACAGACTTACCAGTGACATGAAGTGACACTGTGTCACTTTGTGGAGAGCTAAAAGAGCGACCTGAGAGCACTTTCTGATACAGACAGGAGTAAGGTCCTGCATTGTCAAAGGTCACTGGAGATACGCTGAAGGTGGCAGGGCTGGAGGTGGATGTCTGAACATTTTGAGTTGAGCGCTTCAGAGTGAATGTTCCTCCTGAATGTTCAGTATTTATGGAACAGGTGAGTCTGGCACTTTGACCCCATATGACCTCTAAAGATGAGGTCACAGAGATTTTGGGCTTTGGCAAAACGACTAGGACAAAATAATCATGATATACAGTGAAATATACATAGCACAGTGAAAAGAATTATGGGAATAACATAAACTTAAATTTGCAAATGCCATACCTGAAACATCAAACGTTACAGAGTCACTTTGTGGAGAGCTGAAAAGAACGACCTGAGAGCACTTTCTGATACAGACAGGAGTAAGGTCCTGCATTGTCAAAGGTCACTCGAGACAGGCTGAAGGTGGCAGGGTTGGAGGTGGATGTCTGAATGTTTTGAGTTGAGCGCTTTAGAGTGAATGTTCCTCCTGAATGTTCAGTATTTAAGGAACAGGTGAGTGTGACACTTTGACCCCACATGATCTTCAAAGATGGGGTCACAGAGATTTTGGGCTTTGGGAAAATGACTAGGACAAAAATAAACATGAAATACAGTATGCTTTATAATATATAGTACAGTGAAAAGGATTATGGGAATAAGATAAACTTGAATTT